TGTTGTCGGGTATCGAAATCTTCCGGCCATTGCGAGAGATCTGTGTTCCTCCTTTGCGTTGTTGAACTGTAGAGCGAGAGCTGTGCGTTCATTGACCTTGGCGTTGATCCATTGAAGACTTGAACTGTAGAGCGATCGAGAGCTGTGCGTCCATTGACCTTAGAGCGAAACCTTGTCCTATAGCTGCAGGTTAGTAAGGTACTTTACCTATTAAGTTTATTGTGAGGTATACAATAACATTTTATGGCTGCTTTTACGTACATAAAGGAAAGCCTTTGATTTTTTCGTCGAGCGTGTTTGCATTTTCACACCAGCTGTCACCCACTTCGGTTTGTTTATAAAATATTGGCACAGTTTTGCCACAATTATACCATTGAACCACTTTGTTCACCACGAGACAAGTCAATTTTATTGTAACAAGTCAAGCTTAAAACACAGAGCTATCACGGTGAAATCACGGCAAATACAATGTGACCCATCACGATCTGTCACGTGCGAGCGTTCAGTTTCTTTAAGCAGCCAAGCCATAACAATCTAAGTACAGATCTTTCATTGAAACTAGTGTACGTGGTTCCGTTACCTTATGTCTTCATTTAGCTGTTCAGACACGTTAGGAAAAATGCGTGGTCGTTCTGCCAAATCGGTTCGATGTTATAAAAGAGACAGGGAACCATCAAGGATACCTAAACAAAAATTGTTTCACCTTCTAAAACACAGGCAGAAGAGAAAACAAATAAAACTTGTTCTCAAAACCAAAATTCCTAGGTCGTCAGCTTTTTATTACTTCTACAAAACATTTAAAACTTGGTCTTCAAGACACTGCTTTGAAAGCTATTTTTCTTGTTACTACTTTCGCTCAAAGCTAAATATTTCGAAAAAGGTGACAGCTGGTAACCGAACTTTTCAAACCTCTAGGTGTGATAATTCAAAGCCATTATTGAAAAAATTTGTACGGCTTGAGCTTTTACCATCGCTTTCTGGTGGCATGAATACATACAATGCACATTCATCTCAAATGGGTACAAGGGCAAGTACTGAAAGCAGTTCTTATGACCGATTGGTTAATAGAGTATGCGACAAAGGTTTGCAGGCATTGGATGTTGGTGGTTCTGGTGACTGCTTTTTCAAAGCAATTTCACATCAGTATTATGGTACTCTAGACCATCATATTGCTGTAAGGCATGCTGGTGTAAGCTATTTAAAACAACACCCTGATTTGTTTATCGAGAGTGTGTCTGAGAATTCATGGAAAAGTTATTTGCAAAGAATGGCCACACCAGGCACATGGTGTGACAACATTATCATACAAGCAGTAGCAAATCAACTTAATTGTGTCATTCATATCATTGAGTCCAGGCTTTCGTGCACACAAGGCTCTACAATTACGCCATCCACTACAGATCAAAATGCAAAAGTATTGTTTGTTGGTTACATAGAAGACTTGCATTATGTCTCTACAATACCTCATAGTAATACTACTAATAAGAATGCCTTAAGAGCGAATTTTTTTTATCACCGCGTGGGAGGTGGCACATGATCGGAAAAATCACTATCCTCATATTTCGCTCAGAGATACATTAGGGTAAGTCTATAAACGTGGTATAATTTTTTTGTTCAGAGCTGTTTTTATTTTCTAGAAAATCACCAAACACTGTATCGAGCCCCAACAGCCATAAAATGACCGAAATGAAGTCGACGAGTAGGGCAACAAAACCTTTATTCCTTAAAAGCGCAAAAGAAAGCAAGTCTTTCTGAATTTTACCTATTTGTATACGAGGTATTAAAAAATGATTTGAATCTAATAACGGGCTTGTTGACATAACTATAAATTATTGGCGAATATTTGAAAATAGCCAAAATTTGGTTGATTAAAAATTACATTTTGGAGCAGTTTTTCAATAAAAATTCTTCCTACCTGGTATAACTCGGAATCACTTGAGATGAGCATTTTTACAAAGTGGAAAGAATGTTCTTTCCATGGATAAAAAAATTAATTTGGGGCTCTTAATTACTGCGAAGAAGTAGCCCGGTCTATTTCGTGCAAATCGTAACGCCGCCATGTAAACAACCGCAGATAATCCAATTAGGCTTTTAATTATCGAAGCCATAATTCCAACAAAATCTTATCGCTTTGACCTATACTAGATT